ACCTCTACCCGCCGCACGGGCTCGCCATGGAGAGGCGGCGCCCCCCCCCCCCCTTTCGCCCCCCCGTGCGCGGAGAGGGGGCCCTTGCAGCGAGGTCCCGCCGAGGTCCGCCACGAGGGCAGGAGGTCCAGTGGCATGCTCCTTGGCGCGTCCCTTGGCTCGGGTGCGGCTCGGAGGAGGAGAAGGTACCCATACCTCTACCCCCTCGCCCGTGTTCCCCTTTCTGGGCCTCCTGGGAGGCCCGCGTCGCCACCGCTGGATTCGCCTCGAAATCCTGGTCAGAACGCACCCCGGGAGAGGTCCGGGGGGTGGCGGTATCGGTACTTCTTGGTTTCCCCAGATGCTAGAAGTGTCCTTGGCCCAAGGTGCCCCCAGGATTTCCAAGGAGGCCCCCGCGGCTTCCACAGAGCCCCCCCACGAGGCCCAGAGGGCCCCAGGGGCTCCAGAACGGCGCGTGAAAAGCTGGGGGGCACCTTGGGCCAGGGGAACCCTTAGCAACGCCCGACTGGCATGTCCGCTTCGGACGCGCCCAGGGCACCAGCCAGAGTGCAGCACCACACCGCGTCCACCATACAGTGGGGGCCCATGCCAAGAAACACCCTGCTTGCCTCCAGGGTGCCCTGGGTTTCTTGGGTGTCAATGGTTATGCCATGGAGAGCGTGACGTTCCCACACGAAAATCAATGGACGTCCTGGGTTCTCAGGGTTGGGTTTCTTGTGGAAGGTTTCTTCTGGACTGGCCTCCACTGTATGGTATGCACCACGCGGTTTGCGCACCGGCACGGTGCATATGAGCACATTGTGTTGAGGCCAGCGCTGGCAAACGGGCGGCATATCTCGGAGGCGGGCTCTCGGATGCGCTCCTAGAGTTTTCGCTGGTTCCTGACGGCGTTCTCACCTCGGGATGCGCTTCGAAGGCACAGGGTCCTGGAGGATCGGGGCTCGAGGAGGCAGGATTTCGGACGTGCTCCTAGAGTGTTCGCTGGTTCCTGACGGTGTTCTCGCCTCGGGATGCGCTTCGAAGGCACAGGGTCCTGGAGGATCGGGGCTCAAGGAGGCGCGCTTCTGGACGTGTTCTTAGAGTGTTCGCTGGTTCCTGACGGCGTTCTCGCCTCGGTTGCGCTTCGAAGGCACGGTGTCCTGAAGGATCTGGGCTCGAGGAGGCAGGCTTTTGGACGTGCTCCTTGAGTGTTCGCTGGTTCCTGACGGCGTTCTCGCCTCGGTTACGCTTCGAAGGCATAGGGTCCTGGATGATCGGGGCTCGAGGAGGCAGGCTTTTGGACGTGCTCTTAGAGTGTTCGCTGGTTCCTGACGGCGTTCTCGCCTCGGTTGCGCTTCGAAGGCACGGGGTCCTGGAGGATCGGGGCTCGAGGAGGCAGGCTTTTGGACGTGCTCCAGTAGAAGAAAAAAGAGGCAGGTTTTTGGACGTGCTCCAGTAGAAGAAGAAGAAGAAGAAGAAGAAGAAAAAACGTCATAAACATAAACTTGTGGCGCTCCGCGCGGATTTCTTGGACCCGCGCTGGACCCCTCTCCCTGGCGCGCGGAGCGCGCCAGGGGCGCCGCCAGAGGCGCCGCCGGGGGGGGGCCCAGCGCGGATCCGAGAAGTCAGCGCGGAGCGCCAGAAGTCCATGCTTGCGCAGCTTCTCCCCCTTCGACCTATAGTTCTCGCTGGCTCCTGGCGGCGTTCTCGCCCCGGGATGGTCTCCGGCATCCTGCCCCCCGTTGGGGGGGCGCTCCCCGGGGGCGCCGGGCTCGTCCCCGGAGCGGCCGCCCGAGGCCCGAGGCGTGGTCCAGACGCCAGCGAGGCTCGAGCAGAAGAAGAGAAGTCTCGAGTCGGGAATGCTCACAAAGAGTCCGAAAAAAAATAGTCGGGGGACCCTTTCCTGGTCTCTTGTTTTTCGGAGGTGGACAGGCCTCCTACCCCGACACGTCGATCAGCGAATTGGCCGTTTTCGGTTCGCGAGAGGGCGTCGCGGCCGTCATTTTTGCGGGTCCAGGTCCGTCGGTTTCGGTCCTAGGCCGTTTTCACTCGGGGGGGGTTTACTAGAGGGAGATTTGTCCACTGCCGAGTTGCACAATTTCGGGATATCTTTGACTATCTTGCGTTTCTCTTCCAAAATCCGCCTGCAGGAGGACATACCCGACCTGAGAGAAGCCCGAACGATCCTGCATCGTCGGAGGTCCGCGCGGATCTCTTGGGTCCGCGCCGGGCGCCACCCGACGGCCCCGGCGCCGCTCCCGGCGCGCTCTGCGCGCAATCGGGAGAGGGGCGCAGCGCCGACCCACGAGATCCACGCGGGCCTCCGTAGGCTTCTGCTTGCGCAGCTTGTCCCTCTAATCCTGCACCGCGCGCGGCAGACGTCTTGGCGCTCCAGGCGCCTCGGGCAGCTTGCCCATACCTCGAGTCCGCGCCCGGCAGAGCGATCTGACACAGGCTCAGAATCATTCCTTGAATGTCCTCATCCTTTGGGTTCCTTTGCTGCCTCTCTCCTCTTCCTTCTCCTTCTCCTCCTCCCCCTCCTCCTCCTCCTCCTCTCCTTCGGCTACGCTCCACCTCCTCCTCCTCCTCCGCCTCCTCCTCCTCCTCCTCCTCCTCCTCTCCTTCGGCTACGCTCCACCTCCTCCTCCTCCGCCTCCTCCTCCTCCGTATCATCATGAATCATGATTGTCATCAGCATCATCATCATCATCATCATCATCATCATCATCATCATCAGCAGCAGCATCATCACCATCACCATCACCGTCACCATCACCATCACCATCATCAGCATCAGCATCATCATCATCATCATCATCATCATCATTATCATCATTACGGCGGCGGCATTGGATAAGGAACGTATTCCTGGGGCCCAGGCCTAGGCGCATTCCTTATTGTTTCAAGGCGAGGTGGATGGCTCACGTTTAGCCGCCCATCGGTCGCGAGACCCTGGGTTCCTTATCGAAGTTATCCTTATCTACAACCTCCACCGTATCTTAATCATCGTCATCATCATCATTAGCATCATCATCAACATCATCACCATTACCATCAGCATCAGCATCATCATCAGCTTCGTTGTCATCGTCGTCATCATCATCACCATCATCAGCATCATCAGCATCATCATAGCATCGTCGTCATCATCATCCGTATCACCATCACCATCAATATCATCATTACCATCATCTGTATAATCCTCATTATCATCATCGTCCTCAGCATCATCAGCATCAGCATCACCATCTCGTCGTCGTCGTCGTCCTCATCATCATCAGCATCCCCATATTCATCTTCAGCAGCAGTAGCATCACAATCGTAATCAGCATCATCACGATCATAGTCAGCATCAGCATCATCATCATCACCAGCATCATCATCAGCATCATCATCGTCGTCAACGTCATCATCACCATCATCATCACCATCACCACCCTCATCCTCATACTCATCATCACCAGTATCATGATCAGCGTCATCATCATCATAATCATCATCAGCGGCGTCCCCATCAGCAGCAGCAGCAGCATCATCACCATCATCACCATCATCATCATCAGCATCATCAGCATCATCAGTATCAGCATCATCATTAGCCTCATCCTCACCGCCACCACCACCACCATCATCATCGTCATCATCATCAGCATCGTCACCACCACCAGCATCATCAGCATCATCAGCATGATCATAATCGGCGTCACCATCCTCATCTTCATCAACATCATCACCTGTACTCTCGTCATCAGCAGCAGCATCATCACCAGCATCAGCATCATCACCAGCAGCCTCAGTAGCATCAGCATCGTTATTATAAGCACCATCATTGTGATGATTATGATCAGTAGCATCATCGGCACCGCCATCTTCATCATCAACAACAGCATAGGCATCACCAGCGTCATTATCGTAGTCATACTCATCATTATCAGCATTACCACCATCAATCAGCACCATCATCATCACCATCATCATCAGCATCATCATCCTTTACCTGTCCTCCTTCTGTTCGCCCGATGACCCCCCCGAGGGCCCAGGGCGAACTGGATGACTCCTCTGTAGCGTCCTCGTCTCATACTCCTACTCCTACTCCTTGGCATGCTCCTCCTCCTCGTCCTCCTCCTCTTCTGCTTGTGCCTCCTCCTCCTCCTCCTCCTCCTCCTCCTCCTCCTGTCAAGCGTGCGAAGACATCGGTAGCACCGAGCTTCACGGACTCTTGACTTGTGGACAGTCTCGCAGGGTTCATTGATCGCTGGTTAGGATTTCACGGCTGAGATGTTCAGTGGTTTATATTTGGGGTTCTGATGGCGTACAGATGGTCCGAAAGTCGCAGTTGGCAAGTCGGTCCTAGGGTGTTCGTATTCATGTTCGAAGTGGACCCATGCCGCGTGCCCTTACAGGTGTCTGATCTGATCCACCTCCTCCTTCCCTTCCTCCTCCTCCTCCTTCCCTTCCGCCTCCTTCTCCTCCTCCTCTTCCTCCCCCTGGAGGCCCCTGGAGGCCTTGGTTCGTGAGGTGCTCTCGCGGGACGTCCCTGCTGATACGTTAGCTCGCCTTGGCCTGCGCCCAGTGGAAACTGTGCTCGATGACTCTGACCGAGTTAAGTATAGGTTCAATGTCAGCGTTGTGGTAGCTTTCTTTACGCTCACCGTCTTGCCTCTTAGTTCGGGACTGCGAGAGTGCGGGCCTCGACGATCCGAGCCGCCATTCGTTTGCCCCTCAAGGGTCCCACTGTACGATGTTGGGCCCTCAGGTGAGGCGTGGGCTTCATCGGAGAACCCCTTTGGGCACGCTCGACCTCCTCCTCCTCCTCCTCCTCCTCCGCCTCCGCCTCCGCCTCCCCCCCCTCCCCTCCCCCTCCCCCCCTCCTCCTCCTCCTCCCGCATGCCATCTGCTGCTGCCCCTCCCCCCCCCCCCCTCTTCATGCCTCTTCCCCTCTGGCTCCGCGTGCGCCCCGTGGCCCCCCGCTGGCCCAGGAGCGCACGCGAGGCCGGCCGCCGGCACGTCGGCCCAGGCGGCTCAGACACGGGGCGGGGTGGCAGGACGAGGGCGCTGCCGAAGCAGCCGACGCCCCAGCGGCTCGCAGAAGGGCGCGGCGCGAGGGGGGGCGGCCTGCTCAGAGAAGCCCCGCCTTCTCCTCCTCCTCCTCCTCCTCCTCCTCCTCCTCCTCTTCCTCCTCCTCCTCCTCCTCCTCCTCCTCCTTTACTTTTTCCTCCTCATCCCCCGCTTCTTGGCTTCCGGGAGGGGGGCGATCCTTTCCCAGAGAGGCATCTTGCCTCGCGCACCTCCCCTCCCCCCCCCGCGGGTTCGCGAGAGCCGACAAGGCGGTATGGGAGGCTCCCATGAGTTGTCACCGAAGTTTCGGCGCGACACGGTATCTACGTCCCCGTTCCTAAGCGTCAACGCCCCGGCACTTGCAAGGCCTCCCGCCCCGCGGAGCGGAGCGACACGCCACCCGCTCGCAGGGCAAAGAAACGTGCCGCCGGGGCCGCCGCCGCGACACGCTGCTCAAACGTTCCCGCCCGCGTGCGCACTTCTGGGCTCTTCTGCAGAAGGCCGCCCCCCCCTCGCCCCGCCCCCTTTCCGCGCTCCACCGGCCTCGGCATCCCCAGGCATGCAGCAGCAGCGGCCCGCGTCCTCGAGCTCGGCGCTCCCCGTCAGGATCAGGTCGGCCCTGCGCGCCCCGCTGGCCGTCTCGCGCGGGGGCTCAACGTCCCGCTCGGCAAGCCACCGCTCCGCCGCCTCCGCCAGCGACCAGGACCGGGTCGGACGTTTTCGTCGCTGCTCTGCGGTCGTCAGCCTCGGGGTGCTTTCCATCAGATGCACCTCGCCGAGAGCGTTCCAGGGGTGCCCGAATCGTCCCAAACGGCCGCCTCGGATCCGAGCTTTGACCCGAGGCCCAGACGACAAGGACCGCCCAGGTTGCGACACCTGCCACAAGCAGCTGGCTTCGGCCCCGCTGCCAGGCGCGTTCGGCACACGCGCCTGCGGCGCTGGGAGGCACCGGGAAAGCCAGCTGGGCAAGGTGATTCGTTGGCCCCGCCTCTCTCAGGAGGGGAGAGTAGACACAGATACAAATATAACGTTGGCTTCGGGGGGGAAGCTACGAAAATCAAGAAAAGCAAGCAAAAGACAATGATCTTGGAAAGTGTGTCGATTTATGTGTTTGTGTGTTTGTGTGTCTTTGTGTGTGTTTGCGTGTCTTTGTGTGTGTGTGTGTGCGTGCGTGCGTGTGTGTGTGTGTGCGCGCGTGCGTGGTGGTGTGTGTGTGTGTTTGGTGTTTGTGTGTATTCAGTGTTTGTGTGTGCGTGTTGTGTGTGTGTGTTTGTGTGTGCGTGCGTGGTGTGTGTGTGTGTGTGAGTGTGTGAGTGCGTGAGTGTGTGAGTGTGTGTGTGTGTCTGTGTGTGTGTCTGTATGTATGTGTGTGTCTGTGTGTGAGTCTCTGTGTGTGTCTCTGTGTGTGTGTCTCTGTGTGTGTCTCTGCGTATGTCTCTGTCTGTGTGTGTCTGTGTGTGTCTGTGTGTGTGTCTCTGTGTGTGTCTCTGTGTGTGTCTCTGTGTGTGTCTCTGTGTGTGTCTGTGTGTGTGTGTCTGTGTGTGTGTGTCTGTCTGTGTATGTCTGTGTGTGTGTCTCTGTCTGTGTCTGTGTGTGTTTGTGTGTGCGCGCGCGTGCGTGCGTGCGTGCGTGCGCGCGCGCGGGCGCGCGTGCGTGTGTGTGTGTGTGTGTCTCGCTAGGCCCCTTTCCTTGCCTGCCCCCCTTCGTGCGACCCGGCAGGAGCAGAGCAGACCTCCCTCGGTGAGCCCCGACGGCAGGGCGAGCGCGAGCGCCAGCAAGTCGTCCATCGGCAGCAACTGGAGCCACGCGAGGAAGGTGAAGGGCGCCCTCCGGATGTTCTCCAAGGATACCGGGGTCTCTTCGAGACGTCTTCCCCTCCTCCTCTTCTCCTGGAGCCCGCAAGCCTCCTCATTTTCGAGACCTCCCCTCCTCATTCTCGTCATCCTCTTCCTCCTCCTCCTTCTCCTCCTCCTGTGACCGAACAAGAGAAGTGCATACATCGGCGTTACAAAAGTTGTGCAACGAGTTGAAATTGTATCAACTTGCGTTGGCAGGGCAGGATCCCGCCCAGTGGGATTTGTTTAACTTGTGTGTGTGTGTTTACGTCGGGGTTCAAACATACCCCGTTTAAAATGTATACTTTCATATAATGAGAGAAAATCCTAGATTCTGGAATCCGAGATCTTTGATCCCGCCGCTCTTGACCCAGCCCGCTGGGACTATCGGGGGGAAGGGGAGGGCAGCTTGGCTCGGTCGGACGGGTCAGCCTCCGCCCGCTCGCGCGGAAGTAGCGGACGAAACCTGCATCATCTCGATGCCCCCATAAAACGTGACGATTTTCTGCAACGGCGTAGCGGTACTTCAGGCGCCGCGCGGCGAGCATCGAGCGCTTGGTAATCCAGCCTGGCAGGCGAAGCCTTCTGTATCCAGCAAGGCAGGCAAAGCGTTTGTTCATCCAGCGCGGCAGGCGAGCCCGCGGCCATGGCGGCAATGACGGATGATGCGTGGGGTGAGTGCGATGACATGGAACGATGAATGATAATCCGTCGCCATCGTGGATCCCTTATCGGCTTTACAAAAGTTTCGTCACGAACTGAGATTTAGCCCACTTGCGTTGGCAGGGCAGGATTCCGCCCGATGGGATTTCTAAAATCGGTTTTTTGTTTCGCAAGTTGGGATTTAAACATACCCCCATTAAAATATGATTTATCATATGAGTGGAGGGAATCCTGGTTTAGAAATCCCAGATCTGTGATCCGACGGCTCTTGACCCAGCCCGCTAGGGTTCTAAGGGGGAAAGGGAGGGCACATTGGCGCGTCAGCCTTCGTCCGCCCGCTCGCGCGGAAGCAACGGGCGAAACTTGCATCAGCTTGACGCCCCCATAAAACGTGACGAATTTGTACAACGGCGTAGTAAGCGTAAATTTTCGGAGATTTGGTGGATTTGCGGTGGACCCCCCTTCTGGCGCACGGATCGCGCCAAGGGACGGCGCCAGAGGCGTCGCCAGGGGGACCCACCGCCGATCCAAAACATCCGCGCGGACCTCCGAAGGCGTAAGATGATGTGTTTGCTCGTTCCTCGATGGGAGACGCCTCGATCTTCCAGAAGCCGTCGCCGTAATGTTTGCTTCCGGCAGCCGTTCGGGACGAGTCGGACGCGCCCGGAACGCCCCAGGCGAGGCGCAGCTGAATGGAATATTTCCAGATGCGATGTTTGTGTACCCATCGGTCGTTGAAAGTAGGTTTCTTTGGATTCCCAGAGCCCAATCTACTTCAAGCGCCTTCCTATTTCAAGAATAGATATGCGTTTGCTGCGTTGTGTTGCTCTCTGCGCGGGCCCGGACCCAATCTACTCTATCCGCCGTCCTCCTTTATTTTTCTACCCACTTCTTCCGACCGATGGGTTTTTTTTTTCCTCGATGGATGCCCCCTCCTTCTCCCTCCTCTTCACCTCCCTCCTCGTCCCCCTCCTCGCCCTCCCTCCCGGCACCGAGCTGCCGATTCCCTCGTCGGGAGGCGGCTCGGGTCGAGGCGGGGAGCGCCTCCGAACGGAAGCAGGCCCTGCTGCAATCCGGCTGTGTTTGACCTACGAGCCTCACAGGCGCATTACTATCGCGAGCCGCCCTGCACAGCGGGAGTGCTGTTTCTTGCTGGCTACGGCATCGCTGCTGACTGGCGGCGTTCCGCCGCATTCGCCCTGCATTCCCCTCCTCTTCCTGCTCCTCCTCCTCCTCCTCCTCCTCCTCCTCCTCCTTCTCTTCCTCCTCCTCACATGATCATTATCACCAGCATCAGCATCGTCATCACCACCATCGTCACCATCATCACTTTCATCCTCACCATCGTCGTCGACGCCGTCGCCGTCATCGCACCCAGGATCTGTATCATCATCCGCATCACCAGCAGCATCAACATCAATAGCAGCATTACCATCACAAATAAGAATCACCATCATCACCACCACCAACAACACCAGCACCAGAACCATCATCATCACCATCACCATCACCATCGTTATACTTCATGCGCATTCCTCTTCATCTGTCTCCTCGTCCTCCTCATCTGCCTCCTCCTCCCTCTCCTCCTTCCTCTTCCTCCTCCTCCTGCTCCTGCTCCTCCTCCCTTGCGTCCTCCTCCTCCTCCTCCTCCTCCTGCGGGGCGGTGACGGCTGACGGTAAGGAGCGTCACGCGTCTCATAATGTGCATGTGGGGCCCAAGTTTGGGCTGCGTGTTGGTTTGGCGTGTGGCAAAGTTGCAACGGAGGACCTGCGCCACCTCAGTGCGCGACCCGCGCCCAGAAGGGCCTTTGAGAGCCTGCAGGGAATGCAGGCGGGGCTTTCCCCAGCCGCCAGGGTCTGCCCAAGGCGCCTCGGGCCAGAGAGCTGGGCACTGTCAGGCGGGAGGCCGTCCTGCGTGGGCTGCCGCCTGGGGCCCTCGTTGGCTACTTCGCTACCACGTCGTGGATACCAGCGAATTCCTCCTCCTCCTCCTCCTCCCCATCCTCCTCCTTCTCCTCCTCCCTCTTTCTCGTCCTCTTTATCTTCCTCCTCCTCCTCCTCCACCACCTCCTCCTCCCCCTCCTCCTCCTCCTCCTCCTCCTCCTCTTCCCTCTCCTCCTCCTCCTCCTCCTCTTCCTCCTCCTCCTCCTCCTCCTCCTCCTCATCATCATCATCCTCCGTTCCTTTTCGTTATACCTAGTTGCTTCATGTCGCACCCCGAGGCCAGTTTTAGGGCGGGCAGGGCGTTTCATCTGAGACTCCCTCACCACTTATGATTCTGAAACTTACAAATTGACAGCAGCTTCACAGGCACAGGGCGGCTGGTTTTCAACATGTGGCTCTCGCTTTAGCGCGGCGCACATTCGTTTTGAACAAATAACAAGAGCTTCACGGATTGAGGGTGGGTCGTTTCCAACATGTAGTTCTCGCTTTAGCGCGGCGCACATGCGAATTAGATATTTACAGAATTTTCGCGGATTGAGGGCGGGTTGTGTTCAGAATGTGGTTCTCGCCTCAGCGCGGCGCACATTCGAATTGAACATATTCAAAAGCTTCATGGATTGAGGGCGGGTCGTTTTCAAAATGTGGTTCTCGCTTTAGCGCGGCGCACGTTCGTTTTGAACATGTTCAAGAGTTCCACGGATTGAGGGCTGGTCGTTTTCAAAATGTTGTTCTTGCCCCAACGCGGCGCACATTCTTTTTAACATGTTACAAGAGATTCACGGGTTCCCCTCGTCAACGTACCAGAAATGGTGTGTTGAAAGGGTTCAGGATTATGCGGGCGCAACAGTTACGTTGGTTCTCCGTGTTGAAGTCCCTGGGGTGGCGTTCTGGCACGAGTCGGGATTGTCAAGACGCAACAGTCAGGTTGACATTGATCCGTGGCGTTGGAATCCCGGGCATATTTGTCTGGAATGCTCCAGGGTTTTCAAACGGATGTCTTCCAACGAGGCAGTTCTTTCAATGGACATGAACCGTTGTAGGAGCCTATGAAAATGGAGTTTGGAGGGAGGGTTTACTCCGACATCGTTGGCGACTCTTGGGTTTACATTGGTCCTCCTCTTCCGCCTCCTCCTCCTCCACCTCCTCCCTCTCCTCCTCCTCCTCCTGCTCCTGTTCCTGTTCCTCCTCCTCCTCCTCCTCCTCCTCCTCCTCCTCCTCCTCCTCCTCCTCCCTAGCTGCCCCTTCCATCGAGAGATCCCAGGCAGCTGAAACGGTCGACACCCCAAAAGCACCCCTCATGTCACTTCTCATGTTGATGGCATGAGCGGGTCCAGCCATGGGAGCGGCGGCGGTTGGCGATGTCTGCGGGCGGTGATTTACAACACGTTCATCCTCTCCGCCCCCGCCAGGGTTTTCGACGTGCCCTCGGAGCACCAGGGCGTAGAATTCCTCATGCTCCAGGGCACCACGGTCAGGAGTCGCGGCCCGCCGATCAGGCTGACAACCAAGGATCATATCGTTATGTATTCACTCTTTGGCAAAGGCAGTAACCATGCCTGTGGAGTGGCAGTGGCACTTCATCGACACATATATACAGAGCAGCACATCGTCAGGGTAGCCGAGGGCAAGAACAGGCTCCAGGGCAGAGCTCTTCTGGTCCGCTACAAAAGGGGACGACGGGAATTGGCCATTGCTTCTCTTTACTATCTGACGATAGGCAATGGGAAGAGGAGCGGTAGCAGAGCAGGAGTCCATTGTCTCAGGGCTCACAACATGGTTGCATGAACAACTCAGTTCATTACGAGCTAGGTGTCTTCCACTGGTTGGGATGGATCTCAATTCAACTTGTGGCATGGATGCGAACGGTACACAAGTTACTGGCCACTACAGTGCTGATGTAGAAGGACCGAGCTTCCGCAACGTGAAGCTTATTCTGCAAGCACACTATCTGGTATTGGCGGGTACATACGTTGATGCAGGTGCGACGTACTATGGGATTTCTTCTCAGGTGGTGAAGCGAATAGACTATGTGGCTTGCCCACGGGGGTTACTTGAACATGCTCGTGAATGCTTTGTCTCCATGTATAAAGGACGCACGCTACAGCACATCAGAAGTTATGTTCCGAAAGATCGTGTTCCGCTCTACGCCGCCTTCTGGCAGACCTTCGAGTATCACCAACGCCACCAACTGCTGCATTATAACAAGGAGGCCTGCAATGCAGTATTGCTATATGGGGCGGGACGGGAACGGTTTGTGGCAGCGGTGGAGGAGCGTCTGGCACAATGCAGGGACCAATTCACAACTCGGGAGTATGATGGTCATGTGGATCTGATCAATGCAAGGCTGACGCAAGTGTTCCGGGAGACAGCAGCGGAGTGCCTGTGCGAGGCCCCAGGCCACGT